AGTGCTTGGGAGGTGTGTGAGTGCGAGCAGCGTGTCCCTGCTCTGGAGAGATTTTAATCCACATTTTTCATCCCAGGGACAAAATCCTCCAGAGCATGAACACAGCAGTGGACCTCTTCGCCGTAGCCAGGGCGTCTCCTCTAGCTCAGGCAGGTTTCGTCGAGAGGGGCAGCGGGAATGAGGGGTGAGCTGGGGGGCAGATGCACTGGAAATGAATGAGTACTGTGGGAGAAAGGCAAAATTGGAGTCTTTACGGCAGTGCTCGGGAGTGTAAAGCACTGTGCCCCAGCCTGGGTTCCCGGGCAGTTTGCTGTTCCCATCAGGTGAATTTGCAGGCGTTTCGGGCCTCACCAGGCACAGGCGAGGCCCCACGTGTCTTTGTAGCTTTGCATCATGCTCAGTTATTGCTAGAAGGATCAGTGTTAGGTCTGGATACCCTCGTAACGGCGTTTGCAACCACAGGTAAAGCAAAGCCCATCTGAGCTGTGTCTGTGACGGCAGCCCAGCTGTCATCAACCAGTGACCTTTCACCCGTGGGACTGTATCGCGTGGAAGTCTGCGAGAAGCAGCCTAGCCAAGCTGTATAAAAAAACCTAACTAACCTGCAGTCTCATCTCTCCGCTTCTCTTTGCTCATCCCCTTCCACCCCGGAGGGTCTGGCTTTTCTCCCTGCCATGTGGCTCACCTGGGAATAGCCCTTCCCTGCCCTCCCTCCTGAAGGCCAGTCGAAAAGTGACGATTCATTTTTTAGGAGAAATTTAAAAACAATGTGGCAATGTTTCCTCATCAAAAGGTTTCAATTAAAATGGAAAAAATGGAAAAATATTAAAATTCTACCAAATGTACATTTTAAAAATATTTCTGAAAATTCAAAAGGGAAAAATGATCTAAAAATTTACAATTTTTTACCCCAAATTATTCAGAAAGCACATTTCAACAACATGTGTCAGCTGCTTTCATTTTCTCCTCTCAAAACCAAGGTAGCTCGTGGGCTGTTTACCTGTGCACAATTTTAATGTCTGTCTTGAAATCTGTGTCACCAGGTCTGTGTGCCGTATCTTACTAACCGTTTCTTCCTCATTCACTTGCTTTCCCAGCAAATTGCATGGGACTCCCAACACTAACTCTGCCAAGGTGGTTCCTCATAATCCCCATTTCTTACTAATATTGGTTTTGTCACTTTTTTTCCTTCCTTGTCACCGTGAAAGTGGAATTAATTGGTGTTTTTCCTGCATGGCGCTTTGTTTCTGCACTGTGGACTAGGCTGTGTGTGGCCGGGAGGGCTGGGGCAGCCCTGGCCGTTCCTGCTAGCCTGCCGATTGTCCGGTGGGGAGCACAGGACATTGAGACGGGTAAGAGTCGAGTGATGGGACTTTGGGAGGATGGATTTCACAAGGGATGACACGGCCCACCACAAATATTGGCAACAGGTGCCTGCAGTTAACTGTAGAAATATGTCTTCATGTCTGTGTCCATGTCAGAGGCACATTTCTCCCCTTCCTTTTGTACGACCAGTCTAAATTGGAGAAGATGGTTATCTATTCCAAAATGGGCAGTTATTTAGGGGGAAAAAAGTGCAAGATCTGAACTGTTACCTTGTGATGACAGATTAAGACATGAGTCTCACTGACACGCACTCACTTGCACAGCACATTTTGGTGGAGCCGTTCTGGTTCTATGTCTGACTAATACAGAATGGGGAAAAAGGAGATGTTAAATTAAATAGACCTGATTCGCACCATTTCTTAATGACTCTGCTTTTGGAAGGAGCATGCTGCCTTCTTATAGGATATCATTACACTGTCACACAGTATGTGGCTCAATGTAAATGAAAATCTAGTTCATTTAGTCACATTTTGCTCATCACTTACACTCAGGGTTGCTCACTGAGCTGGTAGCGTGAGCCAGAACCAAAAATGGAGTGGGAAGGATATTCCCTTGCTCGCCCTTTGCAGAGTCTTTCTTTGCAGGGCGAAGAAAGACTTTCTCTTTTCTTTCTGTAAACAATGCCCGATCTGTGCAGTTCATCCTGCCCTGAAGGCTTCTCCAGTGGTGGCCTGGCTTTGCAGGAGAAGGCAGCATGACTGTTTCAGACCTGGAGGGATGACCTCTAAGGGGATGATTAGCCTTAGGTTTAGCAGAGGGGCTGTAAACAATGCCCGATCTGTGCAGTTCATCCTGCCCTGAAGGCTTCTCCAGTGGTGGCCTGGGAAATCACCATCTCTGCCCATGGGGTAGGTGAGCCCAGCATGGAGAGCAGCCTTCAGGGTGGATGGAGCAGAGACATTCAGGCTGAAAGGTGAGACAAGTGTCCCCATCATGCTGTGTGAGACCACCTCTGGAAGACCTCACACACAGGGGACATGGGAGAGATGGCGCAGGCTGACATTTGCCCTGAAGGTGGCATGTCTTGAGCATGTTGAAGTGAAGAGGGAAGAGGGCAGTTGAGCGCAAGGCTTTGTCCCTGGGGGCGTCTGCGAGGAGCCTCATGTCCTGTCCTTGAAACCTTTGCTTTTCTACCAGGTGGACTTGCACTCAGAGCAGCATAAGCCCCCAGTACAACATCTGTGAGCAGATGGTCCAGATCCGAGACGATCACATTCGCTTCATCTCAGAGCTCGCTCGCTACAGCAACAGCGAGGTAAGCTTAGCAGGTAGTTGCTGTAACCAGGCTCGTTAGACTGACCAGGCTGGGCAAGGACAAGTGTGGCAGGAGTGTGGTCTGCCAGGGGAGAGGAAGGACACAGGTGGAACAAACCACTTCTCGATCTAGCAATAAAAAAACAAGTTACAAAAGGCCTTTTTGCAGGTGCAAAATCATGTGCACCAGAAGACCTACTGCAACAGCTTCTGCCCTTTGGCCACAGCTTTGTTAAAATAAGAAGCAGGAGAAAATTTGCAACTGAATGTTCATTACCAGCTGGGTGGCCGAACACCCGTGGCTTGCAAATGTGTCTCTGCTGTTACACAGAGCTGTTGGTCAGGGCTTCCAGGGAATTTCATGAGGGGATCTCCGCTCTTTTCATTACCAAGTGTCAGCATCCTCTCTGATGCCACTGTGACTGTTTCTTGCAAGTGCGTGATCCTCATTTATCTGTGTTAGCTTAATGAATTGTTAGCATTCTCAGCCCTTTTTGGCATTCGTAAGGGCTTGTTTGAACTTTAAATCAGTAAAGGATTTCAGTAGTATTATACCATCATAAGGATTGGGAAAGTGGAATGAAAACAGGCAGTTATTTGCCCTGAGGTGACAGGTCAGACTCCTTTTTTTGTAGGAAATAAACTGACTGCCTGGGTAAAAAGAGCCTTGCCAAGTTAAACCCCTTTTCCTGAGGGACAGTGTATGCACTGTGCAGTTTTAGCTTGATTGTAAAGTCACGGGGAATTCATTTCAGCTGGGATTTGAGAGAGAGTTCTATGGCTGCTGTTTGGCTCAGCGAAGCCTCTGCAGCAAGTTCCTGAGTATAGCCCTGACGTGCTGTGATCTTTTCCAGGTGGTCACTGGCTCAGGACTGGACAGCCAGAAATCAGATGAAGAATACAGGGAGCTCTTTGATCTCGCTTTACGGGGACTGCAGCTGCTGTCCAAGTGGAGTGCCCACGTCATGGAAGTGGTGAGTGCATCCGTGGAAGTGGCAGGGGTGTAACGTCCTCCTCTTCCCCGGTGAATGTTTTAACATGGCATGTAACAGACTGGAAAGGTGAGCTTGCTTTCATAACACCTGACTTTAGGCCATTAACAAACATGGTAAGATCAGGCAGCTAATGACCCTGAACACCCTCTGTACCAAATGGAGAAAGAGAGCTTGATCGTCTCACCCTGGACCTGAACTGCCCTTTGCAGGTGCTGGGGCGTCTTCACTGATGCTAGAGGGGGAGTGGGTGACTCTTCTAACCTGAACCACCTCAGTTAAGTACTGAAAGCTGGTTGGGATGAGTCTGGGTCTTGAGCAACTAAAACTGTAATTCAGATGATGATGGATATTCTTAATTTGGAAAATTTCAACCACATCTCAACACAAGTCCATGGATGTCAAAAGCCCAATATGACCAGCACCCTCCCATGTAAACAAAACCAGTATTCAGTATGGTGATAATAAAGCCAGGAAGAAGCACGAATTCTGCTCCACAAGGAATGTCAAACAACTGTAGTAATATGTAGGGAATGTTTTCCTAGCATAGGGCCCTCTTCAGTCTTTCCAGCCAGGCTTCTTACTTGTTGCAATGCCCACCCCTTCCATCTTGCAGTATTCTTGGAAGCTGGTTCATCCCACAGATAAGTTCTGCAACAAGGATTGCCCAGGAACAGCAGAAGAGTATGAGAGAGCCACCCGGTACAACTACACCAGTGAGGAGAAATTTGCCTTCGTCGAGGTAGGTGCCAACTGCACAAGAGTAAGAGCCACCCAGGGCTGGTTTCCTGGTTCCCAGGACCTGTCAGCTCTCCGTCTGGCTTTCTGTGGACAGGGGAATAGTCCTCAGAGCCTGGCTGTGGGAGGCCCTCACACCTTCATCTTGCTTTACCCAGGCCAAGGTTGTCTGAATATTGCCTTAATTCATGTGGCTCACTCCCTCCTGGGAATTGTCATGGTACTCTTGTACAAGGAAGACTGCGCATGGTGCAGATGCAGGTCTGTGCAAGCCACCCAGCTGTACCCACGTGTGCAGCACATACAGTTTCCTGGTATTGTGTTGTTGAAGAAACCAAGTCATCAGGAGTGGAAACAGAGCCTCCCAAGGGACAGGGGCCATTTGCAAGAAGCTGGTGGTGTTAATGCTCTCCTCAGCTTGTTGTGATCTGTAAAGCAGCTAACACCAAAAAAAAATTAGCCACCTAATTACTGAACCTAAGTTACTTGGGTAGAATTAATTTAGTCCCAAATTCTCTTAATGTTGGATTTATGGACCTCTTCAGACAATGAAAAAATAGCAAATATGTCTGGTTTTACATTTTGCTTCAGGTAATTGCCATGATCAAAGGTCTGCAGGTGCTGATGGGCCGGATGGAGAGTGTCTTTAATCAAGCCATCCGCAACACCATCTATGCAGCCCTGCAGGACTTTGCCCAGGTGACCCTGCGCGAGCCACTGAGGCAGGCAGTCAGGAAGAAGAAGAACGTTCTGATCAGGTCAGTCTGTCCTTCCTGAATGTGATGCAAAGCCCGTGTATTTATTTGTGTAACACATCTGTGCTGCGTAAGCATGTGGCCCTGCATAAACCTCGTGGCATACAACCAGCCAACATCACCTCTCTCCAAGGTGACTTTTGGGCATGACTCCCTCAATAACAACACCGTATATCCCCACCTCAGATACTTCTCCCATACGTGCACAGCAGTGAATACATTCATCTTGAAGTAGAATCAAACTTGAGCACTACCTTCCTCTCTCACCCACTCCAGTGTCCTTCAGGCAATTCGGAAGACAATCTGTGACTGGGAGGGAGGTCGAGAGCCTCCAAATGATCCTTGCCTGAGAGGCGAGAAGGATCCTAAAGGTGGATTTGATATCAAAGTCCCACGGCGAGCAGTAGGACCATCAAGTACACAGGTATGTATACCTCCATCTCCTGTGTAGGGAGTTAATGGCCTTACAGCCCTGTAGGAGTCTCCCGTCCTGTGGATTAGCAGCTATTTCTGTGGTCTGTTCCACAAAGTCTTCATACTGTTGTGTGTTAAATGTTGCTTTGGTGCCTGCGTTCATAGAATCATAGAATGGTTGGGGTTGGAAGGGACCTTAAAGATCATCTAGTTCCACCCCCCCTGCCATGGGCAGGGACCCCTTCCACTAGACCAGGTTGCTCAATGCCTCATCCAGCCTGGCCTTGAACACTTCCAGGGATGGGGCATCCACAGCTTCTCTGGGCAACCTGTCCCAGTGCCTCCCCACCCTCTGCGGGAAGAACTTCTTCCTGATACCTAATCTAAACCTCCCCACTTTCAATTTAAACCCGTTACCCCTTGTCCTGCCACTACAAACCCTTGTAAAAAGTCCCCCCCAGCTTCCTTGTAGCCCCTTCAGGTACTGGAAAGCTGCAATGAGGTCTCCTCGGAGCCTTCTCTTCTCCAGGCTGAACAAGCCCAATTCTTGCAGCCTTTCGTCATAGCAGAGGTGCTCCAGCCCTCTGAGCATCTTCGTGGCCTCCTCTGGACTCACTCCAACTGGTCAATATCCTTCTGATATTGAGAGCTCCACAGCTGAGTTGAGGGCTCCACATATGCTTTGTTGCATATCTCCCAAAGCCTCCCTTTTGGAGGTGTAATTAATTATCTCTAGCTCAGAATGATGGTGGCTTATGGGTACAGAGAGTAGTAGCCATGTGGGAGAAGTGCTATTTTTTGCTGCAGGACACCGTGGCTGTACGGGGTGGTGTCTCACTGAGGAGTGGTAACTGCGTGTTAACTTTTCCTCCAAAGCTTTACATGGTGCGGACCATGCTGGAGTCCCTCATAGCAGACAAGAGTGGCTCAAAGAAGACTCTGAGGAGCAGCTTGGATGGGCCGATAGTCTTGGCCATTGAGGAGTTCCACAAGCAGTCCTTCTTCTTCACCCACCTTCTCAACATCAGTGGTGAGGTTATGGCAGGGGGAGGCTTGAATCCAACTCTTCCATGCTCAGGCAGGCTGAAGTAGATCATCTTTGCTCCTCATGCAGATGATCTTCCTTGGTTTTTCCCAAATGTTCTACTTCTGCCTGCTACAGGCATGTTTCTGGGTAGAAATCATTATGTGAACAGGAATGAGTCAGCAATAGCAAAAGTGGGAGTTCAGTTTCTAGGACTGGAGTTTTCTTTCTATCCTGGACAAACTCCTGAGCCACTGGACACAGAAACAATCTTGCAGAATAACTCTGAGCCATTGAAATGTTCTCCCTGGTGCTCTAGAGCAAAAGGAACAGTCCCTTTGTGTTTCTTCCATTACAGAGTGCTCGGACAGCACAGACATGTCTGGGTTTAAAACCAGAGGCATCCCAGAAAAATGTTCTGCACCCAAAACCAGTCCAATATGAGGCTGCAACACCTGCCTCTTGTGCCCTTCCCTCGCTGTTGTCCCTGTGGGGGTAACGTGGGTGCCCTTCTGCTGGGGGGTCTCCTCTGTGTTTCAGAAGCGCTACAACAGTGCTGCGACCTGTCCCAGCTCTGGTTTCGGGAGTTCTTCCTGGAGCTGACCATGGGCCGCCGCATCCAGTTCCCCATTGAAATGTCCATGCCCTGGATCCTCACGGACCATATTCTGGAAACCAAAGAACCCTCCATGATGGAGTAAGAGACGATGGGCTGTGTTGGGACTGTGCATGCTCTGGGGCTTGGGATTTTGTTGTGGAGTAGGGTAGGCTGGTGATGAACAGTCTTTTTGACGTGGGAGGGAAGACAGATGTTGTGTGAGTTGCTGTCACATGAATGTGTGCTGTATGCATACGTCGTTAGCAGCAGCACACAGGCAGCTTCCTGGCTCTGGCACTTCCTTACGCATCATAAACCAGCCATTGGCAGTTGCTCTATTCGGATGTGGTCACGGCTTGGTGGTACCGTCATCTGCATGAAGAAGTCAGACAGCAGGTGCAACCAAAGGGATGTGCACCCTAGCTAAGGCACCTTAAACACTACTTTTGTATTATATGTGATAAATGATGACAGGAATTGCTGTTATCACAGGATCAGAATCACAGAATGGTCAGGGTTGGAAGGGACCTCTGGAGATCTAGTCCAACCCCCCTGCCAAGGCAGGTTCATCTAGAGCAGATTGCACAGGAACGCGTCCAGGAAGGTTTTGAGTGTCTCCAGAGAAGGAGACTCCACAACCTCTCTGGGCAGCCTGTTCCAGTGATCTCTCACCCTCAAAGCAAAGAAGCTTTTCCTCAAGCACAGGTGGAACTTCCTGTGCTCTAGTTTGTGCCTGTTGCCCCTTATCCTGTCACTGGGCAACACTGAAAAGAGTATTGCAAGTGTAATTACATTCGTAATATCTTCCTCATTAGGAAAACTTGTGTTTTCCATTTTATGGCCATTGTCAGGGCACTCTGTGGAGTGAGGGCAGGATGAAAGCTTTCTTAAGGGCAGAGAAGCAGCAAGTGACAGCTCAAATCCAGGTATGTTCTAGCTGCTTCCAGCAGGACACAAGGAGCAAGGGGGAGTATTTGAGAAACTGGAGTGAGTGGAGGTGATAGGAGTGAAAACAGAGAAAAGACGTTTTTTGCACCGAGCAGGGCACATGCACTGACTGCCATTTATGCTAATAAGCTCCAAAGTTAATTTAAGACATAATCTGTCTTCTTGCCCTCAGGTACGTACTGTACCCCTTGGACCTCTATAATGACAGCGCATACTATGCCCTGACCAAGTTCAAAAAGCAGTTCCTGTATGATGAAATTGAAGCTGAGGTAAGTTCTCTTCATCTTTATTGTATGGCAAGAGCACACTGGAATCACATTGCCCTGTTTGACAGCCCCACCCAGCAGTTCAGTGGATTCATTACAGGCATCTCCTGAAAAAAATGCCCCATCAGACTGAAAAGTTTTCAGAAGACCAAAATTTGCAGCGCTTACAGGCTTTGCTGCTTAAGGGCTTCAGCTCAGCTGTACCCATGGGGAACAGTGGGAGCCAAGGGCTGACAAACACTGGAGGCATGGAAGAGGCTGTCTGAAGGGCAGAGGGTTATGAGACATCAGAGGAAAATGAGAAACTGGAGATCCCTGTGAGGATGATGGGGGACCAGGACCTGTAAGAACATGCAGGAACTATAAGAGAGAAATGTAACTGCAGTTTTTTTGCTTACCTTTAGTATGTGAGCAGTGTGGTTTTTAGCTAGTGTGACATACATGTTTGAATTAAATCAGAGCTCTGTGTTGAGTAGTATTGATCTTGTGTGCATAGGAAGGAGCTGCTCTGTGCTGGTGCCACCCTCACGATGTCTTGTTTTTTTCTCCCCCAGGTGAATTTGTGCTTTGATCAATTTGTGTACAAGCTGGCAGATCAGATCTTTGCCTATTATAAAGCAATGGCTGGCAGGTAGGAGAACCTGACTGCTGATGATAAGTGATGATATCGCTGCATCCAAATTGCTGTTAACTAAAAGGTTTCCCTCAGGGAGTAGCCGCTGCAAGCAGGCATAACAAAATAGATCATCCCTGTCCCACAGAGCTGGCTGTCCATGTCAGACCAGTGTAGGTGGGGAAAATGAATTAATGGTGGTAAGGAGACATGATTGAAAGTGAAAAAATGGTAATTGGCACCCTGAGTAGCTGTCCGAGTACAATTTGTGACAGCAGCAGTAAAGCATACTGAGCCTATTGAAGACATGTCCTTGCTTGACGTTTGCTTGTGTACCAGGCAGGTAAGGAGTGGAAGCCTCCCATCCCTAAGAAACAGGAACATGCACTTGCCCTCACCCTAGCAAAGCAGCAGGACTTGTAATGGCCAGAAGAGTACTCCTTACCTTAGGTCACACATCAGACCAGCTGAATGTAAGACTTGTGCAGAGTCACTTGCTCCCTTGTGGAGAGATGGGCCCATTGTGACATTTCCTGCTAACCATTTAAAGAACATGGATGAACTCTAATTCAGAAAGTCCTCCTCCCATATCCTCAGAGGTGAACCAAGTCTTCAGTGTAACTCTGCAAGGAGTTCTGTCCCTAGACCACATTTGGCTTTAGAGCAGGAGAGCGATCACCATCACCAACCAAATGTTCTCACAGCAGACCTTCAAGGAGTGAACACCCAGCACTAGTGATATCTTTCAGCACAGTCTTTTATCTTTTGGAATGTTTTAGTCACAAAAACTAAGAGTGATGGACAACAGCATGGCAGTCATAAAATCATACAATAGTTAGGGTTGGAAGGGACCTTAAAGATCATCTAGTTCCAACCCCCCTGCCACGGGCAGGGACACCTTGCACTAGACCAGGTTGCTCCAAGCCTCATCCAGCCTGGCCTTGAAGACATCCAGGGATGGGGCATCCACAACATCTCTGGGCAACCTGTCCCAGTGCCTCACCACCCTCTCTGTGAAGAATTTCTTCCTGACATCTAATCTAAACCTCCCTGATTTCAATTTATACCCATTACCCCTTGTCCTATCACTACAGGCTCTTGTAAAAAGTCCTCTCCCAGTACCCTTGTAGGCCTCCTTCAGATACTGGAAAGCTGCAATGAGGTCTCCTCGGAGCCTCCTCTTCTCCAGGCTGAACAAGCCCAGTTCTCGCAGACTTTCGAGATTTAGCCCAGTCCCCAGATTTAGCTCTGTAATTTAATAGTGAAAGCAGAGTTGTTGGTGTGTGGAAATTTCTTTGCATTCAGAACAAGATGAAAAGAAGGATGAAAACAACTCTGGAGAAGATCCAGGAGTGGATAGTATATGTTTCTTTTTTCTTGACACTGCTTCCCTTTTTCAGTGTTTTACTGGACAAACGTTTCCGGGCTGAATGTAAGAATTATGGGGTGATTATTCCATACCCACCATCCAACCGCTATGAAACCCTGCTCAAGCAGAGGCATGTCCAGGTACAGTGCAAGCAGTAAACTCCAGTACTTATAGCTCATGGCCTATTATACTTTTGCTGGTGGCTGGCATCCTAGTGCTGGGCTCAGTCAAAGACGGTGATGGAATGAGAAGGGTTGGACCTTTTTCTGACACAGCACACTCAGGGCATGGTGCCCGAGGGGAAAATGAGTTACCTTCCACATTTCGCTCCACTCTTAAGTAATGGTAAACTCAACCAAGGTGTTTGTATCACTGCTTTCACACTTAAGCAGGCTTGGATATTTATTTTTAATTTGTGTCTATTGAAAAAAAAATGAAGTACCTTTTCTCCATCTGTATATAACATGCAAATATCTTCTCTTCTTCTCCCAGTTGCTCGGTAGATCAATTGACCTGAACAGGCTCATTACCCAGCGTATCTCAGCAGCGATGTACAAATCGTTAGACCAGGCCATTAGCCGCTTTGAGAGCGAGGACCTGACATCCATAGTGGTAAGAACTGCTATTGACTGAGAGCATAAATAGAGAGAATAATACACTGCTATGGGTACACAGTCAACCGTCTTCTGCTTCAAGGCCCACCTGCAGTAGGTTTCAGCCAGCCATGCATGCTCCTTTATCCTACTGTTGCTGTTTACACAGCTTTAATTGCATTATTATTGGACCATTAAGTGTCTGCATAAATCATAAAGTGACAGTCAACAGTTAGATTTTGCAGAGCTCATGTAAGAGAGTGCTGTGATGTGAGAGAAGGAAATTTTGGCTTTGATTCCCCATTGGATAAAGGTGGCTGAAAAATCATCTCTGTGTGTACAGGATTTGCTGCCTTTGATACGTTACAGGAACATCAGAGTCAAGTAGTGTAAAATTACCAGTTTCCACCTTTGAAGGATTGTGATGTTCAGGCCAGTCAGTGCTCAGTGGGCAACAAATTAATTTTAATTCCTGCAGGTTTAGGAGATAATGGACTTGGATCCCTTGAGTAGAAGTGCAATCGGCCTTGGCCACTGGGTTAAATTGATGCCTTTAGCATTCTCACCTGCAAAGTTCTGTAGGGGTGTGGATATCAAATCATTCCCCTGGCAATTAAATCAGCTGTTTCTATTGTTTTCTTGGTAATATGTTGCATTTGCTGCTGCTTTATGTGCTGCAGGAGCTGGAGTGGCTCTTGGAAATAAATCGCCTGACTCACAGGTTGCTGTGCAAGCACATGACTTTGGACAGCTTTGATGCCATGTTTCGGGAGGCCAACCACAACGTCTCCGCGCCCTATGGGCGCATCACCCTCCACGTCTTCTGGGAGCTCAACTTTGACTTTCTACCCAACTACTGCTACAATGGATCCACCAACAGGTGAGGAGAAAAAGCAAGGCAGGGAGCACCTGAAGACCCTGCTTTTCTCTCCAGAACGTCAAACCTGCCACTTAAAATTCATATGTGAGGTTTTCATTCCCTATGGGATGCAACAGTTAGAGTTAAAATGAAGTTAAAGCCCACCAGCTCCCCTTGGCCTTGAAAAATGTTAGTAACAAATTCAAGCAACGAAGTTGGGCAGTGAGGGTGAGTAACTGAGCTTAGTTTGGTTTAGAAGGTTGGTTTACTGAGCAGCAGAGCTGTGGTAGCTACTCATATATGGGTTTCTTGCCTGCCCCAAATGAGAAGAAACCCCACTGTTGGTAGGCTGAACTGTTGTGGTTTATACCACCAATGGATTGGGGCAGGAGTTTGCATTCCAGTTCATGTAGCTCATGTGATGAATTGCTAATTAGTCTGCAACTGCAGTTCACCCCAGACCATGCCATATCCACCCTCGGCACAATTAACTAGGCTCTGACTGCTTTCCTCCCTGCCTCCCATGCCTACCACAGGTTTGTGAGGACAGCCATCCCCTTCACACAGGAGCCCCAGCGGGACAAACCAGCCAATGTTCAGCCGTATTACCTCTACGGATCCAAGGTCAGTAAATGAGTCACAACAGGCAGAAGGGGTGGATGTTGGAAGTATTTATTTAGGAGAAAGAAATGCAAGAACTAGTTCATTCACAGAATGGTGGGTGCAAAGGTACAGGGTCACGTTGCTGTGTGAAACAGAAAAGCCATGCAAGAAGCAGATTGTGTAGTTTTGCTATTGCTTTCCCATATTTTTCTCCATAACATGCCTGTTAAGGGATGCCGACGCTGCTGTCTGCTTGGTGTTGGCACTGAGATTAAGTCACATCCATCTAAATGCACAGAGCAGATTGGGGCTTCAAAGCGGTGCTCCTTCCCAAGGAAAGTACCAGAGGTCAGGAGTTCTATTTGTAGTTCAAAATGGGAACTGCTAAAATAGTCGTGTGTGCCAATATAGACTGCTAAATACTGACAGCAAGCTCTTTCGTCAGGCTGGGGTGACTGTTTACGCAGGCGCTGCAAGGGGTGCGATGCTGGTCGAGGATCACTCAAGCATGAGACTACTTGGGTGGAGTTTATTTCATGTGCACGTTGATTGATGACTCTGAAGTGAACCTACAGCACAGATGCCGATGAGCTAACGGAACTACAGTCGGCCAAGCCTGGCCGTTCCCAGAGAGCTGATGGGTTCTTTTTAAAAAACCCTCTGCAAATGAGAATACTTTTTCACTTGACAAAAATGTTTCTCCCTGCGTCCAATGGCCCTGCCTCATGTTCTGCCCTGGGGCAAACAGTCCCCATGGACACACAGACTGTCCTGTTGGCAAGAGCTGGGAAAGAGCAGCCCGAACGACACCTCTAAGCAGGGTCTCCCTTTACTTTGCTCTCACTGGAGGCCGTGCTGTGGCAAGATGGCCCTTTTATCATCGCTGTTTCTATAGGGAAAAAAGCAGTGGGGGGAGCTATATGGACTCTCCCTCATGAAACTGGAGCTCCTCATTAGCACGGTGGTCATCGGGACTTCCAGAAGCTCCTCTCTCAGTCTGTCACTCACTGGCCCCTCCGAGCTGCTCCCTTCGCCCACTTCGTCGGGGCTGGTGTCAGGATGCTTCAGCCTCGCAGCCCGGTGGCACCGTGCCGACCAGAACTGCAGGCAGCCGTAGGCCAGGAGAGCAACGAAGCAGAGGAGCAGCAGACTGCTCACCATCCATATGGAGGTGGTAGGTTCATGCTTGGAGCCACCAAAAAACAGGGGGTTTTTTTCTAGCGTGTGGAAGGTGGTGCAGTGGTTGCCGGAGGGGTAAGAGTTCTTGCACGTGATGCAGAGGATATAAATGGTGGATGGTGTGAGTTGGTGGAGAACAAGGGAGCTGAGGGGGTGAGGAACTCGCTCCTCGCGGTGGAAGTTTTGGCGTAAGTAGCCGGCGAAGACGCTGTTCCAGTTGGGGCGGTACATGACGTGGTAGTAGTTCTCTGGACAGGGGTTGTTCATGGCCCAGGAGATGGTGGCGCTGGTGTAAGTGATGTTGTGCACTTCGATGTTCATTGTGCCCCTAAAACCAGATGCGGGGAGAGGCTTGAGTTTTCCGAATCACGTACAAAGGCAACAAGTCTTTCCACTGGCTTTACTGGCCTTCAGACTGGACCCAGGACTATGCCTGCCTGGCTTAGATTAGATGCCAGGTCTTAGATGGCTAAAATTACAAAAGATGAATCCTACTGGTGCCCAGACTACTGCATCACCCTGCTTCTTTGCCTAAAAAGAACTGGGACATAGGGCATATTTTATGCTCTAGTTAGATTTTTTTTTTTTTAATCTCTTCTTTCTGACTTTTTCTGTAAAGGAAGCTTTTTTAGCTCTTTTGTTTCCCACGGAATAGACAGGATGCTGCAAGTGTAATTAACATAAACTGATCATTAAAGTAGCTCCAACTTGCCTTGTGAAGTTACCAATAGATATTTTTATTTTACACGTAAATGCCATTGAAAAAGCTGCATAATGATTAATTCACTGGTTTAAGTTGTTGCTGTATTTTCTGTGCCTGACTTGTTGCTTAATAGAGTATAAACTTTCTGTTCTTGCAGCATCTCACACTGTAATATCAGGGTCTTAAATGTGAAATATAAAATCAATGCCTTTATGGAAATACAAATATATGCATAAGTACAAAGCTCTCCCCCAGATAAAAGACATTGGCCACTAACAAATTTCTGATTAGCAACAGCCACAAATCACTTCTGCAGATCCCCAAATTGCTCTCTGAGCCTCCTTGCAGGCTTATCTCTCACAAGCAGCCGAGTGCTCTGAGGAAGAGCTGCATGCAATAGAACAGGGTTCTTTTTTTCCTTCTTCCTCTCTCTTTTACTTTAACTTCCCTTTAATTCACTCAAGAATCAGCTCATCTTAACAACTGTTTTAACCATTCCTGCATGAAGAGCAGGACAGCATGCGCACCCATCGCTGAGCCCTCCCAGAGCCGCGGGCAGCCCCTTACCTCCCAGGCAGGTCGGTGAGCAGCGTGGCCAGCACCTTCCCCTCTTCCTATCGCGTGCCTCCCTCCTGCCTCTGCTAAATCCCTTCCCCTCCCGCTGCCTCGTATTATACCCATCTGGGGCTCCGTCATCTCTCACCATAGCAACCACTAAGAAAGGATGGGCAAGCGTTTTCAAGTGATTTGGGAATGTTATCCCTAAAACCTTCTGCCTGGGAGAAGTACCTGCCTCCAAGGTGGAAAAAAACAAGCCAGGTTGTTCTGTTTGCTGGCCTGTTTGGTTTGGGTTTTCTTTTTTCCCCTATCTGCAGCCCCTCAGCAAGGGTCTGGGGTTAGAGACACGTTGGCACATGGTATGAAATCCAGCATCCTGGCCTGCAGTGCACATTTGATAGTTCAGCACTCAGCGGCACTTTGTCTTTAAGTCTATGGTTTCTTGCACATTTTAACTACTGATTTAAGCCAAAGCCAGTGATTTTTCATCCCTGAATGTCCATTAGCTTTTTTAATGTTTTCTGAACTGTGCGATGGGAGTAGGAACTGGGTTTTCAAAGACCTCGACCTCCTGCTAAAAACAGGCTCTTCTTAGAATGCCCCTGCCTTCTGGACCACTCGGGATGTCCTCTGTCAGTCTGGTGAGAGGGCAGGAGGGAGGGACAAAGCCAGTGCCAGTGGCGTTCAGGGGAGCAGCTAGAGTCTGTGGCCAGGAGGGGACAGATGTGGCACTGGCCCTGGGAAGGAGAGGCTCTGAACAAGTGACTCACTGCTCTCCAAAGCCAAAATGTGTTCGAGAGGAACTTTCCCATAAGAAATGTTGGTTCTGGGTCTGGAATTACTCATTCTTTGTCATTCCTGGAAAGGTGCTTGCAACGTTTTGAAGATCTTCAAAGTATCAACAGTGATGAGATGATGCACACTGCATCAGGAGGGGCTATAACAAGCCTGGGGAGTATGTGTGACCCTTGCTTTTGACGGACGTTTTGCAGTTCTGCATGTTTTGGTTTTGTCTTCCAAGATCTCTATTCCATTCTGTCTCTGTGAGTGAACTGCAGCTGCCAGCAAGCTGAAAACTGGGAGCAGAGATTAAAATAATTAAGGGCAGGGATGGAAATTAAAGTGGACGCAGGTGGCTCCTTGCCATTTACATGGCTTGATCCTGCTTACAAGAGCGGGGGGATAGAGAGCTCATGCTGTGAGTAAAGTACATCCTTGCCTGTAGGGAGAGAGCTGAGGATACAAATCCGTGCTTCGGAAAGGTGGATTACACAAGGTGATGACATTTTCGTGAGACAACTGCTTTCTTACAGTGGTTGGGTTCTTGAGTTTATCAGTGTTCACAGTTGCTTTGAAATTAAATTTTAGTTGTCTGCAAATAAGATGTGTTAGCAGGAAGAGAGAAAACCAAGGAAAATGGGAATAGCTGGATTAGGGCAGCAAAGGTCCTGCTGACCTTTTGGCATGCCTTGATCAATACTGCTAGCTCAAAGGAAACCACAGCAAACCTTCCACTGGTGTTGGTATTACGTGCTCCCAAAATCAAGCTTGCACCAGTTTATGCTGGTGGTGAACTGGAAATTCTCATTTGTCAGGATGAGAAGATGCCAGTGCCAGGACTACTCCAGCACTGATACTGCCCATATCTGCAGGTGGACCCGGCTGTGGCCCTGCCTGGGACCCCTCACTCCTAGTCCTAGGATGCCAACTGCTGACACGCTCCGGTGGCCAGCAGAAACTGAGCCATTTTCTGTCATTCAGCCACTTGCAAACACAGCAGGTTGCCAAGTCTCCGTCAAGCTACAAAATTACCAGCCAATCCAATACTTACTGCTCGTTAACCACTTTTTAGCTCTGTAAATGCTTTAGATTGGGCTTTGTTTATGTATTTTCGTGAGTGATTCTGTTTTCCTTGGCACTGCTGGACCTAGGATCAGGCCAGTCTTGCTGGAAATCCCTGTTTCTCTTTACCTGGTTGAATTTGCCCCTGACTTTTTTAACGATTGTGCAGGCAAATGTAACCTAAAGGACAGTGCATGCTGATGGCACTTGTCAAAATAGTTACAGCGTGTGAATGCGAGGGAGCCGCTCTATTTTCTGCTGCCGGTCTGCACAAAGGCATCAAGGTGCTGTGGTTGCTGAAGGAGGTGTTGGCCAGGGGGATGCTGATCCCCTCCAACTGACGAGGTGGGCTGTGCTACCCAGCCTGCCGCAGCCATCGGCTTGTTGTAAATAACAGTGTTTACAGTCCCTGAAAAGCGGTGGTTGATAAGGTGAGGCATTATGAGACACAGAGTGTGTACAGACACGGTCTCAATACAGTATGTAAACATGCCTGCTGCGTTGTACATGTCCTGTCCATCCCAGCTAGGGAATATGTGGGATTTTTTATTTTGCATGAAAGTCTTGGCAACCAGCTGATACTGCTGCACGTGGTTATAGCTTTATGGGGAGAGTGAAGGCTGTTTCTGGCAGGGGAAGAAACCAGGCCATATTCAGGCTGTTTGTCGGAGACCCTCCTCTGACGATTTTGGTCAGAACTGTTTTTCACTCTCTAGGAGTGAAAAATCATCTCAGCCATCACACTGAAGTTAGGTTGGCAAAGAGCCTGGACTTGTCTTGGGCTGTGTGCAAGTCCTTTTTTGTCTCTAAGTATATTCCTCTTTTGTTAGCTCTTCATTTTTCCAAGGGGGGTCTGGCACAGGCAGGATTATCTGTCTATTATCTCTCCAATCTACTTTATGAGATGAAACTCTCCTGTTTGAGCTCACCTGAGGGCACACAGGGTCTGGGTGATGGCCATCCACAAGCTCAAAGACATGGGAATGACAGCTGGGTTTTGGTTTGCTTCATTTGCTGCTGAATCTGCTCCAGAGCATCCCTAATAACCTCCTGAGCTCCTAAGCAACACGGGGTCCTTCCCCACGTGCTCCCAAGTACAGTTGGCTGTCCCAGAGACCTGAGTGCAGGTTGGGACACCACCAACTCTGCTCCACACTGCAAAACCCAGCCTGCCTGCAAATCCCAGTCTCCCGGCCCCAAAACCTGGCCGTTTGGCCCCAAACCAAAGGTGGGGCAAACCTCAGCAGTGTCTTTGGCAGCTGCTGCTCCCAAGAGGCAGCAATATCAGGGGCTTCGCTCTGGCTCGCTGAGGGGGTGGAAGGGCTCGCTCAGTGCTGGGGAGCAAGCTGTGCCATGCAGCAAGTTTGTACCTTCAGCTGTTTTGTCTTAAAATAATCACTGGTGTAATTTCTTACATCCTACAGCCTTTACCCCAAGCTGTGTATCTCACCCTTAAATGGAGTTATATTTTTAATTGCTGGCAGAGTATTATTATTAGACACAAGCCTGCTGCTAATGCGCTGTGTGGCTCTGCGGAGAGCGCGAGGAACCTACATCATCTTGCAGACAGGAGGGGATGAATCATCCTGCTCATCTGCAGCCAATGCACGTCCTAAAATGTGTCTTCTCCCAGTCAAGCTTATTGCCGAGACCCCCACTTGAGGGAAAAGCCCGCTTGAAAGCTGCTCTCCAGACCCATTATCCCACTGAGAGGCAAGGGAAGAGCTGTGAGGTGGGCGGCTGTGCGGCAGCGCTGATCACTCGCTGCCCATACAGGGACACGGATGCCCCGTTATGGGGAAAATCTGACCAGTTGCTCCGCAACTGGGTACCAGTGGTAGCCCATCTGAGGGGACCATGGCATGTGCGCAGACACGAGACCTGTCTCCTGGCCATGGAGTAGCAAAGAGGCTTCCAGAAATGAGTGTGGGTCCATGAGTCCACCGAAATGTGGACATTTAGTTCCTGCCCTAGTCTGGACATGGGCAAATAACAGGGTCAAGGAGCCTATGGGAAGACATGGGAGGAAGGTGCGAGGAGCTGTCTCGGACTGCCTGGATCACCCCTGCAGCAGGGCACTTTCTGGGAATGCCTGGGGCTGGAATGATGCATTGCAAAAGCCACAGGAACAAGCCAGCGTGGGAGCTTGGTTGGGATGGGCCCCTGGCAGGTTACTGCCTTCCCTCGTGGATGATGGTGTCAGCCATTTGGGAAATGTTCCAGGCTGGGCGTTACCTGGTGTTTAAACAGACACACTTTCCAAAACATAAACTATTGCTGTTTTTCACATGTCAGTGTGTGTATCTAATGGCTTTGGGCCAGGCTCTACCAAGCAGATGTTTAAAAAATTTGTTATCTGAGGATGCAGATAGAAGCCTACTCAGGGTGCTCAAACGCCATCCTCTTAGCAGGAGTTAGCATCCAAGGAGCTTTGAAAGTGGGCTTCTGTCTGCCTAAATAACTTTTAAACTCTGGCCCATATTTACTCAGGACCCTTTTTTTAGTTTTGATGGGAGACAAAGTTTCTGCTCGTTGTGAATGAATGAACTACAGAGCCTCCAAGGTGGCCTTTCTGTATATAACAGTGTTAAAGGGTTTTATTTCTCACCTACCACGACTGGGAGGTGAAATTATATTTCATAGAAAGCAGGGGACTTTCTAACTGTGTCTTACTTCTGCTAGCTCTTTCAAAGAGTACCTAGGAATTACAGTAGGCAATAAGCTGC